ATGTTTTGGATTTGGGGGGTGGAAATCAACAACCTCTAGCGTTCTCATTTGGATTTTTTGGATTTCAGGCCCCGACGAAACCTGCACCGCCGCTCCTCCCCCAGGTCGGCGCCCTCATAATCCCAAACATCCAAATGAAAACACTTGGTGTTCGAGGTCAGGGGTCACCAAACCTTCTGTTTTCATTTGGATGTTTGGGATTTCTGGGATGGACATCAGCGAAACCTTGTGTTTTTTTTATTTTTATGTTTGGGATATCAGGCCCCGACGAAACCTGCACCGCCGCTCCTCCCCCAGGTCGGCGCCCCCAGAATCCCAAATATCCAAATGAAAACAAAGGGTGTTCGAGGTCAGGGGTCACCGAACCCTGATGTTTTCATTTTTTAGATGGAAATCGACGAAACCCAACGTTTTCATTCCGATTCTTGTGTTTTTTTGGATTTCAGGCCCCGACGAAACCTGCACCGCCGCTCCTCCTCCAGGTCGGCGCCCTCCGAAGCTCAAAAATCCAAATGAAAACGCAGGGTGCGCGAGGTCAGGGGTCACCGAACCCTGCGTTTTCATTTGCATTTTTGGGATACTGAGGGCGCCGACATGGGAGAGCGCCGGCGGTGCAGGTTTCGTCGGGGCCTGAAATCAAGAAAATTAAAACAAAATCAACATGAAAACATTGGGTTTCGTTGATTTCCATCCCATAGATCAAAACAATCCATAAGAAAACGCAGGGTTTGGCGACCCCTGACCTCGCGCACCCTGTGTTTTCATTTGGATTTTCAAGATTCTGGTGGCGCCGACCTGGGGGAGGAGCGGCGGTGCAGGTTTCGTCGGGGCCTGAAATTCCACAAATCGTGACAATCCATATCAAAACGCATGGTTTCGTTGATTTCCATTACAGAAATCGCAGAAATCCAAATGAAAACACAGGGCTCGGTGACCCCTGACCTCGCGCACCCAGTGTTTTCATTTTGATTTTTGGGATTCTGGGGGCGCCGACCTGGGGGAGGAGCGGCGGTGCAGGTTTCGCAATAGGCATCCGATTGTAACGGGCTTCAATCAGAGTTCTTATGTAAGCTCTTTCGACAGGTATCTTATCATTGTAGAGGCTTCTAATCTGAATCCTCGTGTAGAAGCTCTCACTAGGAACCCTTTTTGTAGGTGCTTCCAATCGGAATCATTGCGTAGAGGCTCCCAGTAGGAATCAGTTTTTATTCGCTTTCAATCGGAATCCATTTCTAGATGTGCTCATTCGGAATCCTTAGGTATAGTCTTTCAATCGGATTACGTATGTAGAGGCTCTCAATAGGAATCCTTCCTGTGTTAGTTTTCAATAGGCATCCGATTGCAACGTGTTTCAATAGGAATATGTCTTGTAAGCTTTCTCGACAGGAATCACATTGTAGAGGCTTCTAATATGAATCCTCTTGCAGAGGCTCTCAATATGAACCCTTTTGTAGGTGCTTTCAATAGGAATCATTGCGTAGAGGCTCCCAATAGGAATCAGTTTGTATCGTTCTCAATAGGAAGCCATTTCTAGATGCGCTCACTAGGAATCCTGATGTATAGGCTTTCAATAGGATTACTCACGCAGGGGCTCTCAATAGGAATCCTTCCTGTATAGGCTTTCAGTCGGAGTCATCTTGCAACGTATTTCACCAGGAACATTTTTGTAACCGCTTTCAATCGGAATTCGAATGTCGAGGCTTCTATTCGGAATCATCTTGAAGATGCTCTCAAGAGGAACCCTTTTGTAGATGCATTCACTAGGAATCATTGCGTGGAGGTTCCCAATAGGAATCAGTTGGCGTTGGGGTTCAATAGGAATCATTTTTCAGATGCGCCCAATAGGAATCCTTTTGTAATGGATTCAATCGGAATATTTTGTTTCAGATGCTCTTGATCGGAATCCTTTTTTTGCATTGGTTTCCGATCGGAATACTATTGTAACGGGTTCTTGTAGTTTTTAGTGTCAATGGGAATAGTACTGCAGAGGCGTCTACTCGGAATCCTCTTGTAGAGGCTCTGTTGGCTGTGCGCTCCCTGTCGAGCGCGTCCTCCGAAGAGGCAGGAATGATGACACGATCAAGCCAACTTGAGCCAAGAGGGGCTACTGACGATAGTAAGAAGAGGTTGGTTTGGGGATCAGGAAGCGATCGATACAAAACCCAGGGTCTCGCCGCCTGTTGTGGGCTACGTCGCCCAATTCGCTTCGCAACGAACGAATTCACCGAGGTCTGGCTTTCCAGACGACGCTCCTTATTCAATGCCGCCGTACATCAGGAAGAGGAAGAGGAAATCGACTGAGGAGTGGTTAGCAACGGAAGGTCGATCAATGAAATTCCGAATGGATGCCCCAACGATCGACCTGAAAATGGGAGAAGACAGTTATTATTGCCTTTTGGCTTTTTGGTTTCAGCAGTTTATTTCGTTGGTTCGTTAAACATATCGGCATGTTTGCCGCCTTTGGTCCATTGGAAATCGACCCGAGGGGCCGAGGACTCAGCGGATTGCGACGCGTTCCCCCCCCTCCTTGAGTTCCCCCCCCTGCGTTTTCCCCCCCAGTCTTCTTGCTCCACGCGTCTCCCGATGTCGTTCCCCCCCCCCCCCCCACACGTCACCAGTCCGATGGATTGTTCCCCGGCGGGCCACTGCCGCTGAAGGCAATGCCGAAGAAAGGAGTCCTCTTCGAGGGTGTTCTTCACACGGAGGCTGCCGCTTATAATGTAGAAGATGTCTTCCCAGACGTGCGATTTTCCGCAGTCGTTTTGTGAACGGTCCCAGGGCCCGGCGAGGGCCCTTGGAGGCCGAACGTGAAGAATTGGGGTGGCAGTATCATGTTTGGGCTTTGAGTGCGCGTCGGAGCAGGTGGCCGCGTAGTTCAGGATGACATCAGTCTTGTGTGATGCGGGTAGCATGTCTATTCATAGCCACTGCGTCCTAGACCTTCTCGGAAGGGGCGCCGCAAGGCCGAGTCGCAGTGGACACGTACCACAGCTCGTCCTTTAAGGCCTTTGGGGGCAAGATCTTTGTCTATGCCCACTGCGCCTCGGGCTTCCCTAGGAACCCACGCTGTCGATCTGGATGCGCCTCCTCTTGACCGCACGTGGCCCCCCCCCCGCCGCCAGGCACGCTGGCCCGCGGCCGCGCAGCGCGCCCTGGAGCGCGGCGCCGCCGCCGCCGCGGCGGGGCCCCGCGGCCGCGGCGCGGCCGCGCGCGCGCGGCGAGGCGAGGCTGCGCGGGGTGCGCCGCGGGTGCGGGCCCGCCCGCCGCGGGCGCGGGCCAGCCGCCACGGCGTGCGGCGGCGCGGGCCGCGGCGGCGGCCGCGGCGGCCGCCGCGGCGGGGGCGGCGCGACTCGCCGGCGGGGCTCGGCCGCCGCGCGGCGGGTCGCGCAGGCTCGCTGCACGTAAGAGTTGCCCTTCGCCGGGGTGACCCTTGGTGCGGGCTCACAGCGTCCCCCAAGAAATTAGGGCCCAACGTCCCACCACCACTACCACAGGTGGGACGGGAGGGAGTGAAGGATGGGGAAGTCCTCCTCTTCTTCCTCCTCTTCCAGCCTTTCTCTTGCGCCTAAAGATTCGCCCTTCTGCGGTAGCCCAGAGCCGCGCACCAAAGGTCACTGTGGCCCAGGACCTCCCTTTCGTGTCGCCGCGCAGGTGGAGGGGGCGCGCGGTCCCTGCGCTTGCCGCTGCGGGGCCTGCGGCCCGTAGTGCAGACCCGGAGGGCGTCGACGACGACGACGACGACGACGACGACCACCACCACGGGGTTCCTGCGGCGGCGCCGCGCAGGTGCTCCTCTCAGACCCTGCTTGTTGCCGCTGGCGCCGCGGGGGGCAGCACGCCCGGGAACTGGAGGGGGCGTGGGGCCCGCGTCGCTTGCTCGTCCTCCTCGTCCTCGCCTTCGTCCTCGCCTTCGTCCCCCCCCCATGCTCTTGTTGCGAGAGAATTACGGCGGGCGGTTGGGGATGATGTTCGGCCTCCGGGTCCCTTCACGGCGGGCAGGTCCTGGGTCATTTGCGCCTTCTGGGGGCCTTCGCCGGGCCCTGGGACCGTAACAAGACCGACTCGGAGTGGACTGCTGTTCCCAGGGAAGGGGTCTGGTAGGCCTCTAGCTGCCCGCGCTGTAAAACTATCACGGCGTCGGATACTTAACGAGTAGGGGATCGACTGCAGAATCGAGCTACCCCAATACATACGAAGTTTTGTCCTTAGATCTACAGGCAATCTACGTGTTTTTCATCGATTCGACGGTCGACTCAGTTTGGGGCTAGATCAATTCTGTAGTCGACCCCCTGCTCGAGCTTCGGTACGCGCAGACACAGACGCTGGCCAGGCCAGTCCTGGGCCAAGGATCGGTGCACATTGGGCAAGAGTTGGAGGGCTCGTACTGGCGGCGCGCGCGCGACGGAGTTGCTCCGAGGGGGGCGGCTTGCCAAGAGGGCGTGGGGTACTTCAGGGAGGCGAGGGCCTTCTTCCACCACCCACCAAGCCACCCCAACCCAGCCCGAAGGCCCCAAGTTGCCCTCCATTCCCACTGGGGGGGGGGCGTCGGGGAACAATCGAACAAATACATGTGGAACCCGCACCCCCCCTCTCACGCCGAAGTTCGGGCCTTCGGGTTGGCTTGGGGTGGTCTGGTAGGTAGTCCTTCTTAGAAGCGTTCGGAGGGTACCAAGAATCCTTTCCGCTCCAGGGCTCTCCTAAGAGGGCCTCCTGCCTGGCCAGAAGCTCCCCCGCCCTGTTACAGGGCCACGCCCTTTCGTGCGCGCCGCCAGGAGGTGTACCCCGATCCTGGGCCCAAGACGGATCCTGGCCAGGGTCGGTGCAGGTATGACCCTTGCGAAGGACTTCCGGCCGGTGCCGCCGACGCGCCGACCCTGAAGGATGACGACGACGACCCCCCCCCCCTTGGGGGCGGAGGTCACAAGCCCAGGGACCCCCTCTGGGACCCTCCCCCCCCCCCCCCAACTTCCCCCCCACCCCCTCTTGGCTCTCTGGGACCCCCCTGGGGCAGGGGTCCAAGAGAGGAGGGGGATCCCCTTCGGCCCGCTCTTGCGGCGTGGCTTGGCTTTCCTCCTTGGCTGGGACGCCAGGGCCGGCGCAGGCGTGGTTGCAGTCGGCGCCCTCCGGCAGAAGCGGCCGCGGCGAGCACCGGGGAGGACGGGCTGGCGCCCATGCCTGGCGGCGCGCAGAGGGGGGCAGGGCGGCCCTCGCGCTGGGCGCCCGAGACCCCTCGCGCAGGGCATGCCTCGATTCCTCCGGCTCGGTTCGAGACGATTTGGATCGGGAGGGGGAAAAAACGCACAGACACAATGAGTCGTCGATTCCCCAGAAGATCTGGGAGACTATGGGAAGTGGGGGGGGAAGACAGACACCCAGAAAGTATGGGAAAATATGGGGAATCTGGTTATTTGTGTCTATTTATTTGCGTGTCCCAGTTTCCCTTCATTGGATCGATTCCGATTGCGATTCGGTTCTCCTTCGGATTCCGATTTTGATTTCGGTGTCCCACTGGAGGCCTCACTGGCCTGCCGATTTCAGCCGATTCGGCATCCCCCGACTCGGCTTCCGGTGTCCGCCGGTCCGAGTCACGTTCCAGTTCGTATCGGTCGCCAGACCGATTTGTCGATTCGATTTGGGGCTCTCTTGCTCACGGATTTCGGGGGCGGCAAAGAGGGGGGTGATGATTAGGGGGGGGGATCTCATGGCGGGGGCCATGATATTTCCCCAGATTTCATGGCGCCTCTTCTTATTTCATTACGTCCATGGCCCCCCCGCTTGGCCGCGCACATGCCGCTGGTCATGATTTGAACCCCCCTCCTCTTGGACCCCCCCCTCTTGGCCGCTCCCGAGGATTCATACCTCTGAAGATATGTTTCTTTCAGCTGGCGGGTCTTTGGCCCTCATTTTGGTCCTCGGGGGGCCGCGATCGGGCCCAGGGGCAGGTAGAAAGGGACTTGGGGACGAAGAAGCTAGCCCCAGGGAAGGGGTCTGGACCTCCTGTCCTGGGGCCGCGGATTGAAAACATCAGCTCGGCGGGTGTCAGATTTTTTTGTCATCACTCAGAGCGTGAATTACCTACCCCGCTTTCGCTTCCAGGCAAAACCAAGCCATACCACGCGCCTCATCGTCAAGCGGCCTGGCCAGAGCAGGCCGTAGTTTGGTATCGTTCGGTATCTCTTGGAAGCGAGGGTGGTCAAAAGGGAGGTAGGTTTATTTTCCCCCTAAGATCGGCGGATGTCGGATTTTTTTGTCATCACGCCAGGCCTTTTCGCCTGGTGTCGAGGCCCAGGGGCTCTGATGTACTGCGCTGGCTCGGGAGATGCCGGCGAAGGCTGGGGTCCGGGGCTCGAGTCGCATTTTTGATTTGACGTGTGGACTGGCGTCGCGAATTCGGATCTCGGGGAAGGGTGGCAGCCTTCGACAGAAGGCAGCGGGCTTCTCAGAAGCCCTCCCGCCTTCTGAGAGGTCTTCCCTCCTCATCATCATCCCTCTCTCCCTCCCTCCCTCCTTCCCTCCATTCAGCCACAGTTTACAAAAGATGAATTCTGCTATCCTCTCTCCCCCGATGATGTCCGAAAGATGTCCAGCCCCCCTCCGCGCATTGTTTGTCCGCGAGGAATCCCGGGATTCTTGGGTTCAAAATTTCTTGTCGCTTTCCCATTGTTTGTCCGCATTGTTTGTCGCATTGTTTGTCCGCATTGTTTGTCGCTGGGTTTCGTGGTTCAAAATGCTATTCCCGCTGATGCGCTGGCCCCATTTTGGTTGTTCCAGATCGTGCTCCCGCTTCAGCGCGGGCGTTTTCGGCCCTTCGAAATAGGCATGACGATCTAGAACATGCCCCCCGAAGAAACCATCGGAAGAGATTCCACATGCGGTGTCGATTCGTTGATTTTTTTGGGGCCGCAGCACCCCCCAATTTGGGTCGTCGTCGTTTTCAGGAAGTACCAAGCGGGAGCCCCGTTTCTGCATAGAGAAGGCGATGTTGAAAGCAGAGCCAGCGGGTGCTCTCCATCAACCCCGCCTTGTGTGGAGTTTTTTCGGGGAGCTCAAGAGGCTAGACATGGAGCCACGATTCCAGCCCGGCCCAGTCCTTTCGAAGACGATCCGTTTACCCTCCAAGGAACCTGGCGCCATGCCATGACATGTTGTGCGGTGTTATGTTTTGCGCCGCTGTGCGATGCCCTGTTTTGCGTCGCAATGCTTTGTAGTGCAATGCTTCACTGCGCAATGCCGCACCTTGCTATGTCATGCTACGCTCTGCCGTGCCCTTCTACGCCATGCCATGCCGTGTTATACCATGTATCGCGTACCCTCTCGCGATCACTGACGTGCTCGACATCGGACTTTGCGAATATAAAGGATATCTTCGCCATGGTAAGGGATGGGAGGGAGGGGTAGGACGTCAGATGTGACGCGAGCGCACCTAGGTTGTCATCCTCCCCTTCTCCCTCCCTCTCCACCTCCTCCTCCTCCTCCTCATCCTCATCCTTCTTCTACTCCTCGCCTCCCCCTTTCTCCTCCTCCTCCTCCTCCTCCTCCTCCGCCTTCTCCTCCTCCTCCTCCTCCTCCTCCTCCTCCTCCATTCTTTTCCCTATGAATAAGTTCTTCCTGTCGCACCTTGAGGCCATTTTTTCGTGCGGGCCGGGCGTTTAGGCTGAGACTTCTTCACCGTTTATGGTTCTGAAGCTTAGAAATTGGCAGCAGATTCACAGATGGAGGGCGGGGTGTTCATGTGGCTTCCGCTTCATCGCCGCGCACATTTGTTTAAACATTTGCAAGAGTTTCGCGTCTTGAGGGCGAATCGTTTTCAACATGTGGCTCTCGCCTCTGCGCCGCGCGCATTCGTTGATACAATTTGTAAGAGATTCACTGATGTAGGACGGTTCCTTTTCAAAGTGTGGCTCTCGCCCTAGCGCCGCGCACATTCGCTGATGACATGTGCAAACGTATCACGGGTTCCCATAATTAACATACCAGAAATGGTGTTTTGGACAGGTACAAGATTGTTCTGGTGCAACACTTACGTTGTTTCGCGGTGTTGAAATCACAGGAATGGCGTTTTGGCACGATTCAGGATCGTCAAGACGCAACAGTCAGGTTTATCCGTGGCGTTGATATCTCAATCATATGTTTCCGGCATGCTTCAGGGTCTTCAAACGATTGTCTTCCAACGAGGCAGTTCCCTCAATGGAAATGAACCGTTGTAGGGGCCTGTGAAGAGGGAGCCTGGAGGGAGGGTTCATTCCAACATCGCTGATGCCTTTTTGGTTTACATTGGCCTTGCTCCTCCTCCTCCTCATCATCATCATCATCATCATCACCATCATCATCCTCATCCTCCTCATCCTCCTCTTCCTCCTCCCCCCTTCCTCCCCCCATCCTCCCCCTCCTCGAAGGCCGCTCCCTCGTCACACCCCTTTTTGCGCGCCGCCAACATACCGCAGCCCCGGTATGTCTGGGACTACCTGCTGTGGCCCGCAGCCGCAGCGTTTTTGGGCGGGCTGGCGTTGTACCCTTTCGCCGCACAGATGGTCGCCGCCAATCTCGACAAGGTCGCCTTGGAAATCGTCCGAGGCGATGTCTCCCAATTCATGCAGAACTTCTTCAATTATAATGGTCTTCTGTTTTCATTCTTCGCGTCGACGACGTACTCCTTCCTCTACGGCCAGCAGGAGAGCCTCTACCTCGCGATGTACGCCGAGGTTTCGGAGGCCCGGTCCCTCGTGGAGCAGCTGACGCTGGTGAGCCAGGGCAGGCCCAAGTACAAGGCCCTCCTCGAGAGCATGCAGATCTACATGCAGGAGCTGCTCCTGGGTGTCCGCTACGGCTGCCCCCCCGCGGTGTCTGGGGGTTGCTAAAGGTGCTCCTGGCCCAAGGTGCCGCGAGCTGTTCACTCGATTCCGGGGACCCTGGAGGAGTGCTCCAGAGGCCGCGGGGGCCTCCTGGAGACTCCTGGGAGGGCGGCACCTTGGGCCAGGAACACTTCTGGCAACACCCGAGGTGCTGCTGTCGGCGAAGCCCGTGAACGACCCACTGGAGAATATACTCTACCTGACCTCTATCGGCACGCCTTCGGTGGTGTACGACACGGTGCGGAGCCTACGGCAGGCCCGCGGTGCGCGGCTGGGCGCCACGCAGCGCAAGCTCCCCGACGAGCACTTCGTGCTGCTCTGCGTGCTGGGGGCGCTCGAGCTGCTGGTCTTCCCGCTGCTCGGCGCCGGCATGGCGGGCTACGAGGAGCCGGGCCTCGCCTCCGCGCCCGGGCACCTGCTCTCGGTGCAGGCCTGCATCTTCGCCGCGCTGGCCGCCGGCGTGGTGCTCACCCTGCAGATCATCCAGGACCTGCGCAGCCCCACGGCGGGCCTCTACAGCCTGGACGTGATCCTCGAGAAGATGGTCCAGGGCATGCGGGAGGAGCTGGACCGGCGGATCCGCTGCGCGCCGAAGGGGGTGGCCCCGGGCGTGACGGCCTCCGAGGTCCAGCAGCTCACCGCCAGCCTGGAGGCGGGGAGCGGGGACCTGGCCGAGGCGCGCTCGGAGGGCCTGCTGCGCAGCCAGCTTCAACAGCTGCCCGAGCCCGGCCTCGACGCCGCGTCCTGGGCGTCCTTCCAGCCCATGGGTGACGGGAGCGCGGCGACGAAGCTGCTCCAGACGGCCGGTGTGGCCACCCTGTGTGCGCTGGTGTACCCGCTCGTGGTCGATCTGCTCGAGCCCCTGATCTCCAAGGAGGCCCTGCTGGCCATACGCGAGGACAACAACGCGCAGTGGCTGCAGAACTTCTTCACCGGCATAGGCTTCATATTCTCGCTGTTCGTGGCGCAGACGTTCGGCTTCCTGTACAGCCAGCAGGAGCAGCTGTACCTGGCCCTGTACTCCGAGGTGTCCGAGGCGAAGGCGCTCCTGGAGCAGCTGTCGCTGGTGTGTCGGACCCGCCCGTTCTACCGGGACATGCTGCAGGAGCTGCAGAAGTACGTGCGCGGCGACCTGGAGCAGCTCGGCCGCAGCCCGGCGGGGCTGCTGGCCGGGTCCGCGGGCCAACGGGACCCTCTGGAGAGCGTGCTGTACGCCACCTCCGTCGGCGTGCCTGGGGCGGTGTACGAGACGGTGAAGGGCCTCCGGCAGGCTCGCGGCGCGCGGCTGGGGGCCCTGCAGAAGAAGTTGCCGGAGCGGGAGAGGCAGAAGCGTTCCGATACAGGGAAGGCCCATGGCCAAGAGACACCCTGATTGCATCCAGGGTGCCCACGGTTTCTTGGGCTTCGATGGTTTTGCTGTGGAAAGCACGAGGCTCCCACACCAAAAATCAAGAGACGTCCTGGGGTCTCAGGGTTGGGTTTCTTCTGGACGGTTCCTTCTGGTCCGGCCTCCACTGTACCGCTGCTCCCCCGGACCTCTCAAGTGGTGCTTTCTGGTCAGAGCTTCGAGGGGGATCCAGCCGCGGCGACGAGGGCTCACCAGGACGAGCAGCGGTACTGGTGCCCCTTCTGCCTCTTCTGAGGAGCAGCATTTCGCGCTGTTGGCGATCCTGGGCGCGCTTGAGCTCTCCATATTCCCCGTGCTGTCCGTCGGCTGCGCGGCGCTCGACTCCGCGGGGCCCCTGGGCTCCAACGCGGCTCCTGGGCACATCACCTTCCTGCACGCGGTGCTCTTCGGCGTGATGACTTTCGCGGTGACCCTCACGCTGCTGGTGCTCCGGGATCTCTACAGCCCGGTGGGGGACACATACAACATGTCGGAGGCTGCCAGAGGTGAGCCTCGGTGGAGGAGGAGGTATCGATGCCGCTGCGCGTCCTGGAGAATCCTCGTCACCACGGCTGGACACTTCGAGGGAAGAAATACGTGGACCATGACCAGGATGTCGCAGGATTTTGTAGATGCCGATTTAGGTCATGGTCCATGCGGGCCGTCGCCGATTCGTGAGTATGATCCACGACTTGACGCTGACCAAGATCGAGGTTACCAAGATCGACGCGACAATTCCACGTTGAAATCATGGTCAGAACGCACCCCTTGAGGCCCGGGGAGTAGCGGTGTCGGTAGCTTTTGGTCTCCGCTGGGAGGCCCGGGTGGTCCTGTGGGCACTCGTTTGTTAGGCCCACAGGGCCCCAGGGGCTCAGAGATGTCGCAGTAAAGCCAGGGGACACACTCTGCGGCGGACGAGCAAAATGGGGTGGGGATTGGGGCAATGGAGGGGTTGGTTTGCCCCTGACTTCAGGGCCTGTCCTCGATGCAGGTGTGCCTTCGGCGTCGGGAGGCGCAGGGAAAACAGGCTGATGCAGCGGATCTGCTTCCTCCCCTCCTTTGCTTCGTCTGCCCCGAACCCTGGTGCCGTTGTCACTCCCAGCAGCCTCCGAGCATCTCAGGGGTGGTGCAGGAGATGTGCGCCGGGATAGATCGGCGGCGCGCACTACAGGGTGGGGGACGGAGGGGGGGGCCTGCTGAGCAGGCAGGACGTCACCACCCACCAAACCTCCCCAACCCAACCCGAAGGCCCCCATTTGCCCTACATTCCCAGTGCGTGTGTTGGGGGGAGGGGGGCGTCGGGGAACATCGGCAAGAGACATGTGAAGCCCGTACCCCCCCCATTCAAAAAAAGGGTCTTCTGGTTAGGTTGGTGTGGTCTGGTTGAAGAGGGCGCAGCAGAGTGAGACGAGTGGGCAGAGCCCCCTCTCGGTAACCCCGGATTTTTCTCGCCTCCTCATCTCTCCACGCTTCACTGCGCAGCTGGGGAGGCGGGGGAGCATGGGCCCCCCTGACCCTCTGGGGCCTCCTCCTTTCAGGAGGAAAAGAGACACACGGACACAATGAATCCTCGGTTCCCCAGAAAATATGGGAACATATGGGAAGTGAGGGAGAAGACAGAAACACGGAAAATATGGGAAGATATAGAGAGAGTACGTTCATTTGTGTGTATTTATCTGTGTGTCCTAGGGCCCCTTCCACCTTGCCCCCCCGGGGGTGCGCGCCTCCGAGCCGGAGCAGGAGCTCGAGCTGCGTATCTCGGGGAGCAAAGCTTGGCATGAGAGCATCTCTCGGCACCGATCGGACGTGTGCACTGTGTCCCCGGGGGGGGCCATCGAGGAGCGCCCTGGATCCTCTCGCGACAAATCCACGCGCGAAGCCGCAAAATCCACAGGGAATGGACGTCCGAGCGGTGGCGAGGTGCACGCCGGTCGTGGGAAGTGGGCATTTTGGGATCCCAGATCCGCATCGACCTGGGGGATCCTGAACCCAACCTTCTTCATTCGTGTTTCATGCTCCTGCTTCATGCTTTTGCCTGCTTCTTCCGACCGACGGACAAGCTTTCGGAGGCCCGCGCGGATCTCTCGCATCGGCGCCGGAGCCCCCTGGCGGCGTCGCCGGCGCCGCCCCTGGCGCGCTCCACGCGCCAGAGAAGGGCCTCTGGCGCCGATCCGGGAGATCGGCGGGGACCTCCGAGAGCCCACGTTTGATGCTGTTGTTTGCTCCTCCGGCATCGCCGCCCTGCCGGCCCGCGCCGCCGCCGCCGATCGGAGCGCTCCTGGTGCGGAGCGGAGCGCTGCGGGCGCCGCCCGGGGCGCTTGAGACGCTCGCAGAGGCAAGGGCCGTGCGACCGCCGCGGTCTGTGGCGCCCTTCGCGCGTCCCAGATCACAGGGGCCAGCTCGATCCGATATGTATATTTAGCTACCAGCACACACATATATACATATATATATATATATATAGATATAGATAAATACCGCCCCCCCGGGCCCCGGGTCCCACACCTCCCCGCCACATCTTGGGAGCGCTCCCGGTACCGCTCCCCCAGCCTTTCCGGGGAGCCTCCACAGCGCTCCAGGAGGGCCCAAGGAGCCACCCAGGAGCCCCCAGAATGCGAAAGGATGACCCAAGACGCTCCCAAGCAGCCCAAGTGGCCTCCAAGTGACCCAAGAGAGGTCCGAGAGGCGTCCCAGGACGGCCTGAAGAGGCCAAAATCGGTGATGATGATGATGATGATGATGATGATGATGATGATGATGATGATGATGATGATGATGATGATGATGATGATGATGATGATGTTGATGATGTTGATGTTGATGTTGATGATGATGATGATGATGACGATGTTGATGATGACGGTTATGACTTCGGTGATCATGATGGTGATGATGACAACGATGTCGACGACGACGTTGATGATGATGGTGATGATGATGATGACGATGATGATGATGATGATAATGATGGTGATAGTGATTGTGGTGATGGTGGTGCTGATGATGGTGGTATCGTGACGGTGACGGTAGTTTGAGGACGATGATGATGCTGATGTTGATAACGGTGATGATGATGGTGGTGGTGGTGGTAGCAGTGGCGGTGGTGGTGGTTGTGGTGGTGGTGATTACGATGATGCTGTTGTTGATGATGTTGATGATGATGATGATGATGATGATGATGATGGTGATGATGATGATGGTGATGCCGATGATGATGCTGATGCTGATGATGATGACGATGACGATGGACGATGATGACGACGATGATGCTGCTGCTGATGATGATGATGGTGATGATGATGTTGATGATGATGATCATCATCATCATAATCATCATGAACTCCGTTCCTGCTAAAGGTCAAGAACGTACAGGTACCGCCCCCCTACAAGCTGTATGTTTGTAGAATCATCGAGTCGGGGCTCCTCGTTGTATTGTGCATTATACGTGGGGCCTACATCGCGGGTCCAGCTCGTACCTTGCGAGCCCCGTGCTTGAAAGTCGCCAAGCCGCGCAGACAGTTGTTGGCAGGTCAGACGCCGTGGGTGGCCGCGAGGCCAGCACGTGTCGAAGCCGTGGCCACTGGATTGCCCCGAGGAAGAGGGTGAATGGTGATCCAGGCTCCAGCATGCTTGACATTCTACTATATGCTCCTGCAGCCCCGCCGAGCCTAGTTCGAGGGAGTGATGAGAGAGCCACTGTTCAATGAAGCTCGTGTCAGCCGTCTTGGTGCTGTCGTGGCCTTCTGCGAGGTAGTCGTGGGGGTCCCTTGGGGCCCTCTTGGGCCGTCTTGGGGCCCTCTTGCGCTGGTTTGGGGCTCGTTCGGGCCGTCTTGGGGCCCCATTGGGCAGTCTAGGAGCCTTCTAAGGCAATCTTGTGACCCACGGGAGGTCCTCCTTGGGCCGTCTTTGGGCTGTTGTGGATGCCTCTTGGGCATCGCGGAGCCCTCCCGGGCCGTCAAGTCATTCAGAAAGCCTGAGGTGGGACATTGCCTTTGGCCTTTCTCGGAACCTGCTGGAGGTCTTGTCGTGGCCGTTTCGAGCCCTCTTGGAGGCATCTTGGACCGTCATGAATCAATAGGCGGCCGCCTTGGGGCCATCCTGGGCCGCCTTCGAGGCATCTTGGGCCCTCTTGGTGCCACTGGTTGTCTGCGCGGGCCGTCTTCGAGGCTCGGGACGCATATCCATTGTTTTCCACGAGGGATCGTGGCTTGGGGGGCCCTGGAGCGCTTGGGAGCAGCGCCAGGGACTGCGGGAAGTGCACGATCCTCGAGCGGGCGCGCGTGTGATGAATGATCTAAGAGTTGGCAGCTGAGCGGGAAGTGTACAATCCTAGAGCGGGCGCGCATTGAATGAGGGTTCGTGCATCCTCGAGTGGGCATGCGTGAAAAGGGAGGGTCAGGAATCTGTCATCAGTTGCCATGCGGGAAGTGCACCATCCTCGAGCGGGCACGCGTGGAATGGGGGTCCAGGCATCGGCCGCCATGCTGAACGTGCACCATCCCCAAGCGGACACGAGGGAAGTCCCTTCGAAAAGAACGGGCGATGCACGCAGGCGTCTGCGGGTAGGAAGGGGGGACATCCTTTACTGGAGTTCAAAAACACCCTGCCAGACAGACCGTGGCATGCTTCAACGCCTCAACGTGCCAGGGGGCACGGTGGCGGACTTTGTATGAGTTGTGTTGTCCGGCAGCGGCGAGAAACCGAGCTCACATTGGAAGGGCACGTCGAGATTGTCAACGAAATCGAACGTTCTGATCGGTTAGAGAGACAGCTAGGGGATGAGTGGGTGTGGCAGGGGACATCGGGGGATCGGAGGGGGGTGGGGAGGGGGGTGAGGGAGAACAGAGGGCGCGGGGGCGGGGGGGGGGAGAGGGCGGGGGGAGGGGAGGAGAGAGGGTGGTGGGGAGGGAGATGGAGTCTTGCGGGGGGGTGGGGGGAGCTGGGGACGGGAAGCGAGGGGGAGAGATAAGGGATGACGGATGGGGAGTGGGGAGGGGGACGCGAGAGGGGATGGCAGGAACCGTGTGGGGCTGATTTTTCCCCTCAGTTGTTCGAGCACCCCCCTCGTGCCAGCCACTGGGCGATGCGGTGCCACGCGGCTCAGAGGGTGAGGTATCCGTCCGCCCATCGAGCGAACGCGAAGTCCTCTCTCTTTCCTCTTTCCCTCCCTCCCTCCCTTCCTCCCTGCTTCCCTCCTTCCCTGCCCCTCACAGAATACCTGATCAGGATGCTGGTGGTTTGGGTTGGTCAGTGATCTCCTTCCTCCCTCCTCCCCCCTCCCTCCACCCCCTCCTCTTCCTCCTACCTTCCCCTCTGTGTTTCTCCCTTCTTCCCTTCTCTCGGAGACTCCTCCCGTCTCCCTCCATCGCCCCTTCCCCCTCTCTACCTCCCTCCGTCACTTCTCTCTGTCTCCTGTCTCCTCCCGCTCCATCTCTTCCTCCCTCCCCCCTCTCCCCTGTTTTTTTACACACAGGATGCCCGAAAAATCCCGGGAAACGACTCTCGCTGAGGCGCCAGCGTCATTTTTTCTCAAAATGCTGCTCTCGCGCCGGCGTCATTTGTTCCCAAAATGCTGCTCTCGTTGAGGCACCGGCCTCATTTCTGCTCCCGAATCCTTACCCTGATGGCGTCCGGGTGATAGCCGCGCACCCTCCGCGTACTGTTTTTTACACACAGGATGCCCGAAAAATCCCGGGAAACGACTCTCGCTGAGGCGCCGGCGTCATTTTTTCCCAAAATGCTGCTCTTGTTGAGGCGCCGGCTTCATTTCTGCTCCCGAATCGTTCCGAATCGTGCTCCCGCTGCAGCGTGGGCCTCATTTTCGGATCGGTGATTGGCCTCCGTCGTTCAGGATGGCGTTCTCGCCCCAGCGCGGGCCTTTTTCTCGCGCGCCCATCCGCCCGCCACCACCGCGCCGCACCGCCACCACCACCACCACCACCACCACCACCACCACCACCACACCACCACCACCAGCACCAGCACCCGTACCAACACCACCACCAGCACCACCACCACCACCAGTACCAACACACACACCAGCACCACCACCACCACCACCACCACACACCACCACCACCACCACCACCACCACCACACCACCACCACCACCACCACCACCACCACCACCACCACGACAACCACGCACACACGCACGCACGCACGCACGTGCACCACCACCCACTACGCACGCGCGCGCGGAGCCACAGGTCCGCTACGACACGCGTCCGCGGATAGAGAAAATCAGCGCCATGGTAAGGGATGGGAGGGAGGGGTAGGACGTCAGATATGACGCGAGCGCACCTAGCTTGTCCCTCCCCCCTCTCCCCCCCCTCCCCCTTTCACTCCCTCCGTCCCTCCTCCCCCCCTTCTCCCTCCGCCCGGCGCCATGGCGACGTCCAATGCGCCAGACGTGGACCTGAGGGCACAGGGGTTTCCGCCGCAGGTGTCCACCGCACCGTCTGCGAGCGGCAGCCCTCGTCCTCCTCCTCCTCCTCCTCCTCTTTCCAAGGATTCTGAGGCGGAGGAGGACTAGGACGAGGACGAGGAATCGTAGGCTTAGAGTGTAGCACAAGGAGTCGGAGGCGGACAAGAGGATCTCTAGCAGAAGCAGGACGAGGCGGTTGATGATGATGGCCAGGGTGGCGGTGTTGGTGTTGCTGCTGCTGCTGCACCAGTTGTGGTTGATGATGGCGACGATGCTGACGACGACGATGAGGATGATGGTGATGATGACGACGATGCTGACGACGACGATGAGGATGATGAAGATGATGACGATGCTGATGACGATGCTGATGACGACGACGACGATGATGATGCTGATGATGATGATGATGATGCTGAGGATGATGATGATGATTATGATGATGATGCATAGTATGATGATGCTGATGATACTGACGGTGTTGATGCTGATGCTTATGCTGTCGATGATGCTGATGAAGATGCTGTCGATGCTGATGAAGATGATGCCGATGGCTGTGATGGTGATGATGCTGGTAGTGATGACGATGCTGATGCTGATGATGATAAATGATGATGATGATGATGATGATGATGATGATGATGATGATGATGATGATGATGATGATGATGCTGCTGCTGCTGATGCTGCTGATGTTGCTGATGATGATAATTTATGATGACGGTGATGATGAGGATGATGCTGCTGCTGACGACGAGAATGAGGATGATGATGCTGATGCTGATGATGTTACTGACGATGATGATGACGATGCTGATGATTATGATGACGATGACGATGACGATGACGATGATGATGATGATACTAATGGTGATGATGATGCTGATGCTAATGCTGATGCTGATGCTGCGGCTGCTGCTGATGATGCTACTACTATTGATGATACTGATGATACTGATGATGATGATGATGATGATGATGA